TCTGCAAATCATGAACACATGAAACAGAACACATAATAGTTTTCTTCTGCTTTCCATAACGGAGAATATTTATAGAAATATTTATGGTATCGATTTATTTTTATATTTTTATACATCAATTGTCTTTCCTTCCGCAACAGAAACTTACGTGTTACTCACAATTTTTGAATTATATTTAAATGAATACAGAATCATTTTAAACAATACAAAGACACTGAAACAGGTTGTAAAATAAATGAGACAGCAAATGAAAGACAACAGATAAAATAAAGAAGCGAGAAATCTAGTATAGGAGGTCCCCAGGTTATAAAAGATACAACAGACACCTTTCCGTTTTTACGAAGGAATACTTGCCACGTATTAAGATTAATTACTCCGCGTTATTTCATTCTTGCTGTGACTTTTCAGAAAAGGAAATCCTGCATGGCGCTGGAAATGGGTATTTTTAAACGTATTGTTAACAATTCTGTAGCGGTGGGAATTATTTAGGACATCATTGAGAAGCCTTTTGCTATTTAGTAATAATGAAACAGTGGAGTGGTAAAGAACATGTGTTTGCTTTGAAAGCCTAGTGAGAGCATGACTGCTGCATGAAGGATATTTTGGTAAGAGTCCTGTCCCATAGGTTCATGCGATTACGACACAGGTGTGTTTAACCCTTTGAAGGCAAAAACCCTCGAGATGGCCTTTTATTCAAACGACCACAACCATCCGAAGCAGCCGAGATTGCGATGTTATTTTCATCCCATGAAAATAACAAGCAAGTGGAAGTAGCAAGTGGAGTGTCCCCAAATGAATTGTGTCAGTTTATTGAAGACAGATTGTTTTAAATTCACACAATGAAGTAAAAATAATTACAAAATAATTTTTTAAATTCTTAATAACATGACAAAAGCCGAACATTTAGAAATTTGTATAAAACTTCATGATGAAACAGAAGACATATAAATTAGGGAAGGCATCTTTAAAAAACACGCACACATACTAAAAGAAGGCATCTTTAAAAAAAAAAAAACACACACACACACACACACATACTAAAAAAATAGGAACCGAGCCGGTTACAAAATGAATTTGTATAGTTTCGTATAAATATACCAGACAATGTGATGCGGAAAACAAGACTCTTTCTATGGAATGAATTAAACTTGCTTATTATAAATAAAATGGAAATACTCACAAGTTATACAAGTTTCGTAAAATAGTTTCTATCACTATTAAAATACATATATGTGAAAACCTTAAATTTGCTCCAGAAATATAATGATTGGTTTCTTGTGCTGTATATTGAAAATTATTGAATTTTTTGCCTTTAATTTCATTTAAATCAGATTTATAAGATGCATTCAACATATTCACTGCATCTGAATGTGTATCATTGGAAACAGTATTCAAAAAGAAAGAAGCTTTCCTCAACGTAGTTACTAACGTTGTTTTTAGAAGTACTTTGGAATATGTAAATACTTTGTACGAATGTGGAACTTTAGATGACACAGATCCATTGACGGTGGTAGGTATGGGTTTCTCTGTCTCATGAAGAAATGGAGTAGTTCTAGTAGGTAAAGACATGTCTCCGTCATGTAGACCTTCCATGAAAGAAATACTCTGTGATTCAGTCATACCATTAGAATTATCCGACTCAGCAAGTCCTTTTACAGCTACACCTGACTGATTGGTCATCACATGACTAGAAAATAGATCATTTAGAGAATATTTATTATCTTGGGAAATATTTTTGATGTTTTTCCCATACAAAAATAATGAAGGGAAAATTCCGCCCATGGGTTTCTGCACAGAACATTCATGTGACAATGAAGACTGAATACAACTATCTACGCGGAGATCCTCCCTAAGAAAGAAAATAAAATGATAATAAGCAATCAGTTTTTGCAATTAGAATAAAATGAGGATAAAACAATTCATTGTAAAATTTTATATTCTATTTTCCAGCATTATTTACAGTTTCTTAAAATTTTAACTACCGTATATTCCGGCATATAACACGCATTTTCAATACAAAAAATAAGATCAAAATTTAGAGGTGCACGTTATAAGCCTGATATAAAGATGATAGACTAAAAATCAGCAAAGAAAAATTAGATTTTTTATATGTACCTAAATGCTGTTTATTTAAAAGAAATGACACACCTTATGAATTAAAAAATTTTCATTACCGGATAACATGAATAGTCCCCATGTTAGTCTTCTGTTATATCTTCAAGCACATTATTGAATTCTGTTCATCATCACTGTTACTCTGATCCATAAATAAAATAATCATTATTCTTCCCATCTTTTACCAACACCAAACATCCTTGCTGCAGCATGATTTCCATTTTATTTCACAAATTGAATGATTTTGCATTTGAAAGCAGCACTGTGTTGTTTCATTTGGAAGGAGTGGTATTTACTACTAAATGGAAAGCTAGAACATCTAAAGCAAATTCGATTTACTAAAGCCTTCGAAGTTCACTTCAAAATCCCGGCTTTAAATGAGTACAAACAAACAAAAAAAAAAAAAAAAAAAGAAAACCTCTGATTCCTAATTCTGCGAATTCATTGGGGTCAGAAGGACATTCTTGCTTCAAATTCTGTCCCCCTCCTTTTCTCAAAACCCTAGAACAACATTCTTGTGCGCATCTGCACTAAATGTAGCGAGCGCACCCCCTTTGCAGAATTATTTACTCCCTCAAGCACTTACTCCCACGTGTGTATTGTTCCCTTATCGTTGTGAATTCAGTATACCACTGTTCAAACACGTGGAAAAAATCTACGAATGAAGATCTTCAAATCGCAAGAACATCGCACATGTATCTTTCAAGTTTCTTCATAAAGAAAAAGGTGCGCATTTTATGGCAAATATATCTAAAGATTAATAAATGTAGCTTCTGAAATCATAGCTGCGTGTTATACATCAGTGTGCGTTACAAGCCGAAATACACGGTACTTATCAATGCATGGCTTCCGATTATAAGTAAGTCAGCCATATTACAAGAGACAGAGGCATCGATATCACCACTGGCAGTATTTTTTGGACAATCTGGTGATTATATTTAATTTTAAAAAATGAATTAATGAACCCGAGATAAAAAGCGATATTATTATATATATCAGACGATTATATGGAACATTTTTCCTGAAGTCTAATTATTCTCATTTTAACCAGGGATGCTACATATGGATAAAAGTAGCGGATGAATGACTCAAAATAACAACAAAAGGCCACATTCCCCCATTACATTTATCAATGCACCAGCAAGTGCAAAGATGCGAAAGAAACAATTATACTATCATTTGTTATCTTTAACACAGAAAATATCAGAAATATCCCTAGAACTGCCAGAATAATACTTGTCTTTCCATAGAAGTCACAGCAGAATAACAACTTCCCAAACTGGCTACTGCTTTCAGTACAAAACATGACAGAAAGAGCTCCTTAGAGAGTTTACATAATTAGTCACGAATAGAATATAAGCATTAGATACGCAAGCATGTCGCCTGCTGGATGAGTCTCATTTAAAGGTATTTTAAGAATAAAACTAGTGAAAACATTAAGAAAAACAATAACATAAATTCCATCACAAATATACCTCAGGCAAATATAGTTCAGTTGTGGTCAGTGGTGCCCGCAAGCTAAAAACCATTGGAAAATCCTTTCCTCTGCAGGTTCCAAGCAGCATCTGTCTTTGCAGATAAATCGTATGCTTTGTAATTTTGGTAAGATATTAAATGATGAATAGGAATCTAAAATGCAACAGACTGTTTGTTTTTGCTGTACGATGTCCCAAACCTTGACAACCAGAGAAAACGTTAAAGGGTTTCATCACCACAGAGCGGTCTCTTTGTTTACCAGAAACGAAATCTCCGAATCATTTATGGTAATCGGAGAACAGCATTTCCTTAAATATTTTTATAGCATAACCAAAACTACGAGTATGAATGATTATGAACATGAATGCAGAACTATGAAACTGCAGAACTACTATGAAAGTTTCCGCACAGAGAAGGTCTCCATCTGGGCACAATATCCAAGAGCCGGCTATAATGCCGATTTAAGTATGGCAAGAAAATCCCTTAACTTTGCAATGATGGTACATTATAAACATTAAGTGCAGCACTTCTTTTATTTTTGTTCTCTGATCAGTGTACCTGCTTCTGCAGAACATATAATAAAATTGGAACGATACAGAGAAGATTAGCATGATCCCTGCACCAGAATGACACGCTAAACTTGTAAGCAGTATAGTGGTTACTGAAAGTGGCTGCCGCATTGCTGGGCTGGGTTCTGGGTAATGTTTAGATGATTTGTAAAAGTATAGTATCTCTGAGTCGGGCAAATAAAGTATTAGCGAGCTAGAAGTTTTCTCGAGAGGTCTGGCTGTAGGCGAAGACGGGTGGAAAACCTTCAAATCCGTCACTCAATGATCAAAACTGGGATGGAGTTGAATAGGTATTAAAGTGGAGATTATATTTACAGAATAGATAAGCTTCAGGGATTTCATAACAGCATAAATGGTGAAACAATTATTTTCCTTATACGCCATTATCAGCCATTTTTGTTTTTATGGCATTCAAAAAGGTATAATAATAAATGATACATATGTGTTCCACTTGTAAGTTCCAATACATGGCTAACTCTTTCGGCTCAGCTCCTTATAAGGCAGAAAGAGAGGGATCGCAAGAAATGTCCCACAGACGGAACCAAAAGAAATATGGTGTGAAGCCCTGCCTCTTGACTTCTCCTGGGAGGACTAAATGGCAATAAAATCTTTCAACAACTACAAAGGTGTGGAAGGTCTACAAACCATCGTCTAAAGGACTAACTGTTATATTACCTGCAGAAATGGTTAAGTTCGTGTACTTCATAGCCTTAAAGAGTCGAGAATGTCAGACTACAGACATCAACCAATAGGATAAGTAAAACCCTGAGGAGAAGGGAGCTCATTAAGATGCACAGCCTGACTGCAGATATTCAGTTGTCATCATCTGTGACTGCATTTACAAAATACTGTAAGAATGTTATAGAACGACAACAGGTAATCAAGAAATGTGATCTGGATATCCATAATGGCGAAAGCCAAATTTTATAGGATTTAATCACTCTCTCATTACCTGACTTCAATTTCAGTGCTTTCCGAACCGCAGCCCAGAACATTTGCCAAAACTTCGGATTCCGCTCAAGCGATTTGATGGCGGCGTTAAAATTGTTAGCAACTTGTGTAGCCACACGTGGCGCGTAAGTGGTTTCCTTTGAATTTAGAAGCTTAATTTTCCCCATTTGAATTTTATAGTTCCTCTCTCTCAGTTTTTATAATGTCTTCGGTTTCTCGAAAGTTGCATTCTTTCCATTCACAAAGAATTTCTACTTTTATGACAGTATTTCATTTCTGCGACTTTATATAAATAACAGAATCCATTTTGTGTTTGTTTGTCAATATCCATAATAACTTTAGAGCTGTTCTGTTCATTCAAAGACTGTCACATATATCGTTCAAAATGTTAATTTATATAATGATGACTATAAAATACTTAAATAACAGCAAAAGAAAAACATTTTATATGATTTTATACTTGGCAATTTAGAAACACGTTTATATTATGCTGTTTGTGAATTAATTATGTATTGAAAGTTGACTTCGAAGACTGATGAATTAACGGCTGCATTTCTCAAGGTAATAAATGCACTACAAGGTTTTCAATAAAAATGAATATGTTTATCGTTTACCTGATAACAAGCCAAATTTCTTTTCTTTTCCTTATTTTCCAGTGGTTCAAAAATATTCTTGCTTCGAATCAGCATCATTAATGTTTTTGTGGTACTATTAATTTGTTACTAACCTTTATTTTTGAATTCCTGGTGTCAGTTTGCAATAATCACTGGCTTGTAATCAAATAACTATGGTGTATGTCAAAAGAAACCGCAATCAAATTTATAAGAGAAAACAAAAATAAACATTAAAGTAATAATAATAAATAATAACATAAAAGAGAAACATTATTTGGCTTACCCAAATGCATATTTTTCCAAATGATAAGTTGTTTGAATATGTCCTTCTAAGCAATTACCCACAACTTCCTGATTATTATCCATACAAGACGCTATTTTGATAAATGCTGTAAAGCAAAGTATGTTATAAATCAAATTAGTTTTTCAGATAATTACTTTAAAATTTCACTTCCACATTACAGAAATGTAAATAAATATATATTACATATCAAGAAAATACATTAACCCCCAAAAAAATTCATGTTTGTGCATAATTGGCAATTTTTCCTAGACAAGGGATACAATATCCTTCATTCGCTTTGTAATTACAGCTGTGGGTTGATTCCATCTTTTGACTGGATATGATTACCTCAATGCTCACCTCTTTTACATTAAATTTAAGTATTCTCCATCATGTACTCTTTGTAACTCTGGACAACCCATTGACAAAGAATATTTAAACACGTTTCACAGACAAAGAACATTTAAACGCGTTCCATGGACAAAGAGCATTCCACGGATAAAGAAGATTTAAACGCATTCCATGGACAAAGAACATTTAAATGCATTCCATGGACAAAAAAAATTTAAACTCGTTCCATGGACAAATAACATTTAAACTACCCTTAATAGTTTTCTGTCATCTAAAAATATTGGGAAAGCAAGACAGGCAATGGCTTAAGAACCAAAAGCGAGGCATTTGTAAATGAATAAACAAATATAAAAAAGACACCTTGCAAGAATTCCAAAGCATGCTGTTAATGGGTTTTTTTCTCATATATTAATGATTATACGTTGACTTGCATACAGTTTACGTGTTTTCTCGACATTAAATGGAGCTACAGTCAATGTACTATTATTCCATTACAATAAGTGGGCTAAATTTCCTTAATTGATGAGAATGTTTTTCAATCCATTTTCGATATAGCGATCACACTTTACAACGTTCTTTTCGTATCGGATGCAAGGGGTTATTACAACGACTGTTCAAATGCATAAGAAACTGGGAGGAGGAAGATAAAATCAGAACTAATTTGATGACAAAAAATTAAATGCAGATTACAAGGTTTATTAATTTACTCTACTTCTGACAATTAATTATCTAATTCTTTTATACATATAAGAATTACAAGCTTCATTGCATTTTATTAGCTGTTAAATAAATTTATTCTTCCGAAGAAAAACTGTCAATTTAATTTTTCTAAAATTTTCATTTTTCTTATTTAGTTGGTACTATTATATGCATTACTTTTCTTATTTTAAATATTTTAACGCAGATTAGAAATTCTTTTACTCACTCAGCACTTTTTTAATCTTTTATTTCGCTTTTCCTTTCATTCAGTTATTCTTCGCAGATTAATTCTGTTTCATATTAGGACTTTTGACTTCACCATAGTTTGTGAGATAGTTGAAAAGTATCATGTTAAGTTTAGTTAATTTTGTATTCTTTACCTTATAGAGTAGTGTTTAATTTTCTAAACCGTTATTATAAGTACCTTTATTTTTTTCTTCGAGTATCATTTCATTTCCCTGCCAGAATGCAAATTTCCAGTACGCACGATACTGTAATTAGGTAGACGGATAGTATTTAATGGGAGGTTTTGGAGGGTGAAATCAAAGCATGTTCTGCCTGCTAGAAGCCATTTGATATCTTTGATCTAGCGATTAGAATTCTGAGGCGTTGAGTTATTCTTGCCATTAGGCTTGTTTACGCCGACTTTCGAGTCAGAGCCAGCTTGCGGCATAGCTAAATTGTAAAGCCGTTAGGTTATACTTTATTTCATTAATTTTAAAGGATTTATTACCTTTCGAGTTAAGCCAAAAGTATTGGCTTTAGTAAGCACCAGTTGGTGCCGACTGTTAAACTTTCTTTGAGTTCATAAAGGATTCTTTATAACCTTCTCCTGACTTTGTAGTACTTTAAAGGACTTGGTACTAATTCACCAAACAGTCTTCAACGTCGTGAACATTTTATGATAGCCAAACACACTCGACGTTATAACCTTCCATTAGCAGCTGCTTTTAGAATGCTTAAGAGAATTGTTACTAGTATAATTATACAAATTCTTCTGTTATACTACTGAAAGGAAACATTTATATTTTACTAATGTTACAAGTTATTCTGTACTACATACAATGAAAAGTAAATATCGATACTTAACTCTTTCCTAAGCGATATGACACAGGTACAGCTGTATCCTGTAGTGATACAGAAACACATGACGACATAGAATTATGAAGAAGTAATCTCAGTATATTTCTCAACACTTCAATAGCTTCCTCTTCACATGAATTTTCCATAACCAGCTGTGGACAATTCAGAATACTAAACACTTTTCTGAAAATATCAGAAAATATAAGGTTTACACAGGAAGGAAAAATAACATAAGATACAGTTACGAGAAAGTCATAAGAAATACTACCAGACTCCTTCGTTAACAGCGAAGAAATTTTCAGGGGCAATCAAGCATGTGAAGAAAACAACGAGTGCAAAAGCATGACATATCGAAATAGTCCGCATTGCCAGTAGGGTGCATAAACTGAGACCCACATATTTAGCAGCCATAAATTGGCAAACGTAATGTACTTGTAAGATTTGAGGATTCTACGATGAGCAAGTACCATATTACGTGTCTTCGTGAATTTTATGCACACTGCGCAAAAAAAAAAAAAAAAAAGGGGGACAGTCCTATATCCCGGGGGCCGATTGACGAAATTCAAATTGCGTTTTTCATGTCTCGAAAGCGCAATAAGCTATATATTAGATTTATATATAGCACTATTCAACATAGGTATTTTGACACAAAATCGGACTTTTTCTGAAATAGCATACCAATTTTTTTTACATATTTCAATTCTACGACTAAAATTATGCCAGGCTGCCACATTTTGTAAAATTTGCACGAGTAGTTTTTAAAATATTAGCTCCTCAATGTTAATCGAATTTCGTATATATTTATTAATATCTCTTTTTTCATTAAACTTTTTTTACTCTTCCTTTCACATTTTGAAATTTACGTTTATTTCAAATAAAATTCACCTACTTTTTATGATACAGTTTTAAAATTTCTATTTTTTAGTAATTTTTATAAATTTTTCAAAAAACATTTTGAATTATAACCTATAAAATTTTTACCACCACTTTAAAATAGGTGTATTTCTAAACATACCTGCAAAAAATTAGTTTTTTTTATTCAAAATTTTCTAAGATATACACGAATTTACATATTTCTGCACTTTGAAATTTGGCATCTTTTTTTTTTTTTTTTTCCTTTTCTTTTCTTTTTGAGAGATATATGGATTTTGCTACAGTGAATTGTCACAGCTACGTTTAACCTTAAATTTCGAATAAATTTTTCGGAGAATTAATTATACATGAATTTTTTTCCCTCAGTGATGCGTAACAATATTTTTTAATGCTATATGAAAAGCTATTTTTTTAAATTATTGATGATATTATTCAAAATTTTAACTTCTTTAAATTTTTATAATTATTTCTTCCTTTTTTTTAAATATTTATAAGAGTGTATTTTTAAATACACCTCTTAAATTTTTAACTTTATGGCCTATGGTATAATGATAATATACTGGTAAGAGCTCCTAGTATCTAAAGCCAGCAGTAAAGATGTGATCCAAGATCCTGTTTAAAATGGAGAAAGTTCGTATTATGTTTATTTTCACAACGTTTTTAAGCAAAACAGGGCGTTGATAGTTTAGGTCATGTCCCAGCTTTAAAAAAAATATACATAAATTTTTATATTAATCCTCTTAGAAAGAATGTTTTAAGTAGCTAATTTTCTCTCATGTTATAGATTGTATAAAAACATGATCTTTAATATGATTTAGATTGTTTGCAGCCAATATAAGAATCGGGTCATTCGGTGGTACAGAATTCCAGACTTAGACCATATAGATACAAATAAGAAATACAGGTAAATAGAGATTAGGAGAAGATCTAAGCAAAAGATTTAGAGACGAATATTTGAGTCTGCTGATCCAGTTCAAACATAATAAAGCTACTCAAAGACAAATAAATTTACTTGTAGAAAGTGATAAAAAAAAGATTGTGCTGGTCAGTGAGTTATTGAATCGCTCCACATTCAAGTTAATTGTATTAGAGTTGGAAAATATCCTTTGTATGTGATGGACAATGACAACTTGTTTTCACCTAAACAAAAACAATTTAACCCCTTCTCGTGTTTTAACCAGTCCGACTGATGAAGATTTTGTCCCAAATATAAACATCACGAACAAGGCTCTTGAACAGAAAGCTGGGCCAAACATAAACATCATGAGCCAGGCTCATGAAAAGAAAGTTGGGCCAAACATAAACACCACGAGCTAATTTTACGGTCGTAATCGAACATTAGTTTAGTTCCTATCAGTACACCACAAGAGTTGGTCACGATTCTTTATTATATAAATTATATATTATTTATAAAAATTATATATTTGTAATACAGTAAGACCCCGCTTAACGCTGTTTCGTTTAGCGCTGTTTTGGTTTAGCGCTCTTTTATTTCAACCCGGGGATTCCACGAAATCGCTCGCAGCATACGGGGATTCCCCAAAATATTATGCAGCGATAGGTTTCAAATACATATCCGATAGAGTGTACTTGTATTTCTTGTTTGGTGTGGTATTGTACAGACATATTTTGAAGGGGTAAATGTGGAAGATGTCGAAGAAATAATTCAAGAAGCAGCGGCTAGTCTTTCTAATGATGAGCTCAAGGAATTAACTGAACAAGAAGAAAACAAAAATGTTGACAGCAGTGATTCAGAAGAAGAGAAAAAAGAACTTTCGATGGCGTTTGTAAAAAGGAGTTTATCTACCATAACTGAAATAATGGATCAATTCATTGAAAATGATCCGAATTTTGAGAGGAGCTCAAAAGTAAGGCGTGGTGTTAGAGATGCTCTATCCATTTATGAAGAACTTTTAAAAGAACAATGCAAAAGAAAAAGGCAAACAACATTAGATGCTTTTGTCACAAAAAGGCAGAACACTGAAAACGCGGAAGGCTAACTAAATATGACTGAGAATTTTATTTGTTTTTTTTTTTTTTTTAAGAATATTCGTTTTGTTATTTATATTTTGTTTTTATTTTGCAAGAAATAATAATGTGGTATTAATTTGGGCTTAGAAATAAAATGTTTGGTTTATTTTTATTAAAAAAACATACTTTTTAAATTTAATACCTAACCAATTTCCTAGCCATCTTCCCCTAACCCCAATATTTACATGTAAAGATAGCCTCGTTTAGCGCTGTTTCGCATTACGCTCTACTTTGATGGAATGTATCCCCCGTGTTAAGCAGGGTCTTATTGTATCTGCAAAAGGCAGAAGGATTAAAGTTTACTTCCACTAAGGATTAAAGTTTACTTACTTGGTGTTCTTTATTTATGAAATGTAATTTTTAAAGTGCTATTTATCACAAAATATATTTATAATATCTATAAAAGGATTTAATAGTAGTATTTATAATATCTACTATTAAATTTACTTCCAGGCCAGCAGTATCGTGCAAAACTTACAATAACACAAGCACTTACGTTTCAGCTCATATTGTGACTGTTCTCAAGCATCAGTCTGGTTTGTTTACTAACGCGTCGACCCATAACACTTGGGTTTAAGTTACATCGAGGTAAATGGCTCGGGAAGGAGTTAATATTGATGGTTATACACGACTTCTAACAAGATAGATAAAACTAGATGTGGTAGGGCAGCTATAAAACCTTCCCGTTACAGTTACTTTTTTTCGCTAGTTCCCTGTAAGTATATTGTATTTTAATTTATGTTATATCCATCTATCCACGATAAATCAAAAGGCGAGAGGAGATGTCATGAGCAGCTCAATGGTCGTGTTAACGTTATTTTCCTTAGTTACTTTCACAGTTTGGAAACCTATATTTTTGTTAATGTTTAGAATATTAAAAAAAAGGAGGGGAGTGCTATGTTTTCATACTAAAGTGGATTGCTTGTTCATTTTAATTACTTAGGCGGATTGTACGCTCTGTTTCATTGCTTATTTTTTTTATATCTTTTTTTACTAGAGAACTGACCGAATGAATAAAATTGAGATAGAGGCAACAACAATACGCAGAATGTGAACAGAGGTTCCTATTTATCACAAAATATATGATAGTATACTTGAAATACTATCATATATTTTGTGATAAAAATACTTCAAATACGGCGTGACACGTTCTTCTTAGGCTCTTCATGAACCCCGTATCATCATCAATGCTGAAATGCTAAATGTTGGCAAAACTTTTCAAACAAAATTTGCATTATTGGAGAAGTTAAGCAACAAAAATCAGCGCAATATTTGCAAATTCTGCAGGACTGGTTTCCATGGTTTAAATACAGAACCATCGAAACTGGTCCTGCAAAATTTACAAATAGTATGCTGATTCTTGTTTAACTTCTTCAATAATTGTTTGTTCGGCTTGTTATTTTAGCCTTAACATTTGTATGTTTAATTTCACGGCTGTAGTTGAGTTAACAGAATGTAATTTGAGGAACACTTGTAGAGACATAAGATATTTTTGGAAGCAGGCAAGATGAAAAATTAGCAACCGCCTTTGCCTGGAATCGAACTGCGGACCTCTGGAATACGCGTCCAGCATGCAAACCACCCTACCATGAAGGCATGCTAAGAAAGAAGGGAGAAATACCTTATATGCTCCTCCTTTTAAAGGACAACTGGGGTTTTTATGGGACACAATCGCCAAATCCTGGGTGTAGAGAATTATCATCCATCACCCTTTTAGCGCGGGCGCCACTGTAGAGACATTAGGTATTTTTGGATACAGGCAAGATGAAAAATTAGCAACCGCCTTCGACGGGAATCGAATCGCGGACCTCTGGAACAGCCCAGCGTACAGACCACCACACCACGAAGGCATGCCAAAAAGGCAGGAGAAATACCTTATACACTAACAAACTAATAATATAATGCAAATCTACACTCAACACACTTCATTTTGCTATTATCAAAAATTAGCAATTTAGAAAACATACATACATACATATTTTTTAACCTACTTGCAAGAAATTATTTTTGTATAGTCACTTTCAGCTCTTGCATTCGCAGTCATGCTTCCAGAAACAGAAATGCAAGTGAGTAATCTGTAAAAATGCTTCTTTATACAATCCCAATGAATATCTAGCTCTAAAAATAAAAAGTAAACATAAGCCATTTATTGTATGAAAAGATAGCATTAAAAATGAAGATGCAATGAGAAGAACAATAGATTTGATATATATCTCTCTGAACAAGTCATCGGAAAATACAATCAGCATTTCATAAATCAGAATTTTAGGGTATTATGTATCAGAAGGAAAAAAAGGTTTGTCAAAGATACGTTCCTATAATCTGTTACTTTAAAATAGGCACTCCAAGGGCATTACCAGCCCCTACACTTGCGGTCATAATGAGTGACATCATCAACGCATAGCGTTTATTTTCTTCACCTCACTTGAGACTGTACTTCAAGTCCGCCTGCATTCCCGTGCTGGAGAAACGCGCGAAAAAGAGCCTGCATTCCTGTGCTCAAGAAATGCGCGAAAAGGAAGTGTGTGGGGTGCGGATTAAGCAATTCTACTTTTTTTTCGCAGCTGTTCTTCACACGGTTACTAGTCAAATCGGGAGGTGGAAAATAACATCGAAATTCCCATTTTAAAGCAACAGACCATAGCCATGAAGTAATGAAGATAATTTATTGCTTTATATGGGGAAATTCCCATTTTAAAGCAACAGACCATAGCCATGAAGTAATGAAAAATTATTGCTTATATGGGGAAATTCCCATTTTAAAGCACAGACCATAGCCATGAAGTAATTAAGATAATTTTTTTTTGCTTTATATGGGGAAATTCCCATTTTAAAGCAACAGACCATAGCCATGAAGTAATGAAGATAATTTATTGCTTTATATGGGGAAATTCCCATTTTAAAGCAACAGACCATAGCCATGAAGTAATGAAGATAATTTATTGCTTTATATGGGGAAATTCCCATTTTAAAGCAACAGACCATAGCCATGAAGTAATGAAGATAATTTATTGCTTTATATGGGGAAATTATTCAAAACCACAAGAAAGCATAAAAACAGAGTATGTTTATAGGATTTTGTAAACTATATTGCTCCGACCATGAAATATTTTACGCATAAAACACAAAAATTGTTTGATACATAAAATAGATTGGTCTGATGTTAAACACAATTTTACACATAAAACGGAACTTACATTTTTGACATTGTGTTGAAAGGAAATAAAAGGATTTCATATAAGATGACTTCACATATATTATACGATGAAATTTTTCCAACTGAAAAGATAACTAACCGGACATAATACTTTTTAAATTTGTAGTTACGGAATAAGTGAAAAATTGCTTTAACATAGAGAAAAAGCAACCTTTATATGTCTTTTAAGGGAATTCTGCCGGAAGGATGAAAAGCATCCCGGAAGGAGGGAGAAAGAAACTTATAAGCGACATTCAGAAAAATTGTGGGAGCTGAAAAGAGAAATGTTGATGAATTAATTAGGGAAAAAAAAAAAAAAAAAAACGGTGTATAACCGAAGCTATATTTCATATAAATGAAATGCTTTATTATTTGCATGCGCAGGAATTAATCGCAGCTGAGATTATAAAAAAGAGAAATGTATATATGGTGCATCTCGGTATACTTTTTAAATATATTTTACGATACTTTTTACATACATTACACACTCCTCTCAAATCACATTTATAGACACAATCAGCCCCCATTTGTACAGTTTGTAAAATATAAAGAACATACTATTATTATATTAAGCAGTTGTTGAATATTGTATTACACATTTGTTAATATCATTGTTATATGATAATGATGAAGGTAACATATTCATGTTCATTATAGTTTTCTTTGTTGGGATTAGCATGAGCAAATGGAGATGCAAAATAATTTGAAGCCTGCTTCCCTAATGTAGGTTTTCACAACTATATATTTAGTGAATGTAGGTAATTTAGAGCAAAAGAATAGAATAGTATAGTTTTCTTTACGAAAAGCATGCAAGAACAATATTAAGTTTAGAGTTTGCTCGTATAATATATGTTAACACTGCAATAAGGGAGAAGGTGGTTATATAATTTTTAGATAGAAAATGAAGTACAGCTTTAAAATAAAAACTAAAATCATAAATACAATTTATACAGCATTAAAATCAATTCTTTAGCATTAATACCTTAAAAATTGCTAAGTCTATGTAAAAAATTCTCTAAAATATCTTCTCATATAAAATAAAAAAATTCTCACATAAATATTGTTAAAGGAACTAAAATTTGGAAACTGATACACATTGAAGTAACTCCAAATCATGTGCCGAAGCATCAGAAATCTAGAGCGAATTAATTTCAAATTCTTTACAATACGTACGGCTTATTAGAGGTCCATCACATAGTTCTTTCAGAAAACCATGACTGACATGAGATTCAGGAAAGAAATCTGGAAAGAATGTGCGCAAACAATTATCTGCACAAGGTACTATTTTTCTGAGTTTTCTGAAATGAGAAAAGGAAACAAAAATTAATTGATCCTGAAAGTTAAAAATATCTTTTGACAGGAAAAATTATCATTCATATCTTAATGGAAACTTCAGCTTCCAGAACTTTAACATAATCATACAATAACCTTACGTGCTTAGAAATTCATAATGCAGGAACATGCTGCTGATTGGTATAGTTAGTTCTTTATATCTGTGTTTAAAGAACCACTGAATTAACTGCACAAAAGCTTTGGAGCATCGACAATTAAGTTTCGGATTTAACGCTCAAAGTTACTGCATTCCTGATTCTTCTAGCAATATTGATTGCCGCTCAACCTGGATAATGTTTAGTGACACTAACTGCCGCACCGAAGGGTTCAGGCAAAGAAAGTCTATACAATACATATTCTTTGGTCCATGCTCGAATATCGAAGAAGGATGGGAATTTGTAAATGTATACTTTTTGTGCAACATGGGAGGGGGCACTGAAAATATGTGGCCAGCTGAAAGTCCTGTGGAGAGGCTTGCGATAGGGAAAGAAGAGTGAGAGACCTTCGGACCTGTTTTTCTGGTATGTTGTTCTTCAAAATTGGATGGGGGGGGGCAAAACTGAGCAAAGTCGTACTGTCACTTGTCTGGTGCCCAGGGTTTTTGCCAACGACAGGCGCAATCTTGCCAATCTTTCGTGGACTTGTTCTGACATCAGACAAGTGCTATTAGTCACAGCAACAATAAAAAGAGATTTCATTGGTATCCAAAGTGAATGTGAACCAATTTCTCTTAAATTAGGACCCATGTTGGTTGGCACACCATTGTGCCTTTGTATTGTGTTCAAATCATCTAATATTTCTTACGTTCGTAATCAGCAATGCAAACCATTTTCAAGGAACTAAGCATCATTAGGCAAAAACATAGAAGTTAATAGCATTGGTTTATTTAAGTTTTAATTTCCATTCAGAATGAATATAAAAGAATGAAATTCATTAGTAAAATACTGAAACACTTCAACATTAATGGACAGCAATCGATGATACCAATAGTCAAGTCGGTTTCTTAATTCTTGCCCGAGTAATTTGCTTAATATATTTCCGTTATATGCAGATTCCTAGATCGATGCACACTTCACAAACTATTGAAAACTGCGTGACTTGATATTCACTACTAAAGGAAACAATTTATTTCTATAGAATGATTCTAGGCGGGTATCTCTGTCATGTTTTACAGTACCAAATATTTTACTACTTCCTATGCATCTGCAGGGCACTTTTCTGCAATTGAAATCTTGCAGTTACCGAATAAAGAACATGGGGTAGAACAGTCAAAAGTAATTAATTCGGACACCCATAATCCGGAATGATCTATAATCTGGACCTCAAAGCTACAAACTTTTTGCCCATGCGTCGCATTGACGATATTTTGCGCATGCGCACACGCTTATTCGCAGCCGTAAAGATCTTATGGCTGCGAATATGACACGCATGCGCAAAATATGTTTACGCATGCGCGTTTAATGTTTTAACGGACGGTAGAAGCTAAGCTAAAATTATCTAATTCAGTTAATGTTGCAGATTGCATTGTTCCTTAATCTTCGAATTGGATTCGGCTTATTATTTTTTGCAGACTGTTAGAGCAATTTTATAAAAGTAAGCTTAAACTTTAGATTATGTCAAATAGAATTTCCGATATATATTTACTAATATGTAAGATCTACAAAGCGAAGTTGTTTCAAGCCCATTAAACAAAAGTGGAATTGCTCCAAAAAAATGACCTAACCATTCCGAAACCTGTTTATCACTTTCACGCTGCTCTGCGGCGGAGGGGGGGGGGAAAGCCACGGCGTGCAATGAATTTGAAGTTGACCTGTCAGCACTATCCTTATCTTCAAGGCAGATGTTTTCATTTTATTTGGCTTATAATTCCTTACTAAATGTAGTATTTCATCTCGACGTATTCTGTCTTTGATATGATTTAAATCAAATTCCTCGGCATTATAATTCGCTTCCGATAGTGAAGAAAGTGACACAGAGGTTATTGAAAACGAAAAAATTTCGATTGACAAATTAGTCGGTATTCTCGACACAGCAATTAGGACTTGAACAACGAACTTTGTAACTGAACAAGAAATTACGTCTGTTTATAGAATTAAAGAGAAAGTATTATCACATAAAACGAAGCAACTTAAACACTCATTAAAAGAAATGTTTAATAAAGTAAATAATATTAAGTTTTTTTTTTTTTTTTTTTTTTTTTTGTAATTTTTGATACCCTTTAGATCATAATTGTTCTTTATTCATAAATTACGGTTTCATATTTTTAATTTTATAATTTCTGCATGCCATCTTACCAGATTTAAACTGATGATCTATAATCCGGAAAAATCGATAATCCAGAATCGCCGAAATCCCGACGAGTCCGGATTAATGACTTTTGACTGTATTTAGGAATACCAAATAATTTATAGTACCTCCATCAACGAGTCCCGTTTTACTTCTGCCGTTAGCTGGGACAGGATGGGGTGCACTCCGTAATGTAAATAACAATAAAATCTAACAAACAATTGTTCAGTGTACAGAAGAGTGCATTTTAATTTTACAATTCGTAAATAACTTTATACGGTATTTCTCCCGCCTTCTTAGCGTTCCTTCGTGGTGCAGTGGTCTGCACGCTGGGCGCGTATTCCGGAGGTCCGTGGTTCGATTCCCGGTGAAGGCGTTGTTCATTTTTCATCTTGCTTGCTTCCAAAAATACCTAATAGCTCTACAGTGGCGCCCGAACTAAAAGGGTGTTTGTATGATGATTCTCCACACCCAGGATTTGGCGATTGGGTTCCCTAAAACCCCAGTCGCCCTTTAAAAGGGAGAGTATATAAGGTATTTCTCCCGCCTTCTTAGAGTCCCTTCGTGGTGTGAATGACACTTTACATGGATGATACTTTAGAACACCATAATTATCTCCTCCCTCCCGCGTTCCAGAAAAGAAAAGAGAGAGAGAGAGCTGTACTTTCTAGAAATTTGTTTCTCTAATTATAATGACAACCTTATTCGACTAGGAAGCTTTGTTAATAATAATGCTATTCTTTATATTCTATTTGGGACGTTCATATGACGAGTTAAATCAGAAAAATAATTAGAACAGTAAGCAAAAATTATTTTATAAATTTACTAATTTGGATTGTCAGATTTAGCAACCCTATAATAACAATAAAATCATCTTTTTCCATTAAGAAAACACTAAAAATAAACTTTGTTGAAAATTTTGTTACGCCCTTCAAAAAATGTGTATGCTTTTTGAAGGTGTGAAATGAAGTGACTGGTCATAAAATGACAATGTTACCAGGTCAAATCAAACATATCATTCTTAAATCGGAACAATTAACGTGCTGTAAGCATGTAAAAATATTTTCCGTTTACTAAGAACAAAATATTCTTTCGGCATATTAAATACGGCGCTTTTATTGGGATACCCTATATATAACCAATAAATATTTGGTTGCAAATTTCAAACATATGTAAATAAGCATTTTCATTCGCTAACTGAAATGCTTGGTTTCACTACTGCTTAATTTTGCAGAGGACATGATGTAATACTAAAACTAGCTCCAACTGTTTTCCGGTCTTGCTATCATTAGCACTACGGTATCAAAAAACTACAGCATCCTAATTGGTTGACTTACTGATTGATGCAAAGCATTCCAAGGCTACCAACTTGCGGGCAGGCAGCCTTCGTGAACGATTCTCTGAAGGTGTAAGGGAAATAAGGCTTGTATTTATCTTACACATGGAGAAAGCCACTAAAGAGTTTGCTTGGGTACTGATAATTCAACGATGTGCAGGTGATCATCGGATTTGGTATACAAACAAGACGTTTTAGTACCTGGAAATCATATACTTAAATAAGTGAGCGGGACCAAGTGGTGATATTAATAAAAGAAATTTCTCTTTATTTTAGACTTTCGCTTCATTCAGATATCCTGCCGAACAACACAACTTATCTGTCTCAGACAGTGAATCAAAGTGGCATTTGCGCACTCACCCCAAACTTTAAAAGCTAAGACTTGGGACGTTAAACCAGGTCAGACTACAAGTATTCAGCGGTCTTAACCACTCAAACACTGGTGGGGGCTTGTCTTCAAATTAAATTTATCTCAAATAACTGTTATTTTTTGTATGTTTCGCATTTTTATTAGTGCCAATTTCATTTACTGCCTGAAGTATAAATATAGAATAAAAAAACTACTTTTGCAAAATAATTGAGCTAATCCTGATTATGTAATTTTCTAAGGCGTTTTGAGTTTTTTGTGATTTTTTAATAGTTTTCGCCATTTTTTAACCAACTTTTATTTAGTTCACTCATAGTGTTTGTTGAATGGTCGAAAGTTGATTTTTAACGACTTCCTGATAAGGTATCGAAGTACGAGTTCGAATTTTGTACACATGTGTTATGACACTGCAATGTGGTGAAGCGATTTCAAAAATTTGGTTTTCGAGCTCAAAACTCGATTTCGAATTTTTTTTAATTTAAATGTTTAAACGATTCTTCGAATATAACTTCATTTACCAAACAAATTAAAAATCTCAGAAATTTACAGTTTGTATCATCGAATAAAAAAAAAAAAAAAAAAAAAAAAGAAAAAGAAAAGAAAAAAGAAAAGAAAAAAATTTAAAGAAAATCTATATCAAATTCTTAACGTCATTTTTGATTTTTGCCAAATTTTCGAAAAATCTGATATTAATTACTTTAAAGTTTCAACAAAAATATATCGTTAGAAAATCTGGGATTTCACAGATTATAACACAAAATCTCCCTTTTAAGATAAGAATGATAAAAAGTTATTAAATGGATGACACAGTACATTTAAAAAAATACGCTGCAGTATGAAGCAGAGGGTGAAATGTATCGGTTCTCCTCCTTCGCCCGTCGCTTTTTATCACCAGCTTACACTATCTTCTAACATTTCTGCGATGGAATCGAGAAGTAAAAAATGCTACGGTATCTACATTAATTCCCCACCTTAAC